ATAACTGTGGATTAATTTAGATCTAGAAAATCAAAAGTCTTTTTAACAGTCATGAAGACATATTGACAGTATCGATGATCAAACACGACACGCTGCTCTGCCTCAGCTGCAGTATGAAGTCAAAGTATCGGATCAGATCGGTATCGCTGATGCTGACCCAGTGTTTACTTGGCTCCGTACCAAATGTTGCAGTGACACACACCACTACTAACCCCCCAGCATCACTCTGTCCCCCCCTCCATCATCTTCCTCCCTCTCCAGCTTCCCTCCTCAGGTCCTCGGGGTTTTGATCAGCTTCGGTTCCGGACAGAAAATCACTACCTCTCACTCCTCGTCTACCTCTCAATCTCCCCCCACCCCCTCGCCTCTGCTGCCCCACCTCACCTGTCACCTCCTCTGTCTCTTCAGTATGCAGCAGAGGATGCAGACGCTTACCTTCCTGTCTAGTCGCCCCCCTCCTCCCTCCGCTGTAAGTGTTCRGCCCGTGTCAGGGAGGGGGGGGTGCCTCCGCCGTCTGTCTGAGGTGCAGAGTCGGGTCGGTGTTCGCGAGGCGGGCCGCCGCGGCGCAAACAGTCGAGCCTACCGCGGTAACGGTGAACAAAGCAGTGATGTATGAGAGCGTGTCATGGAAGATAACGACAGCGGACGGCCCCRCGCAGCTTCCCCACTGAGCCGCCTTCGCAGGCTCGGATAATTAAAAATGATAAATTTCATAAAGCAATCAGTGGGGCGTTATTAGTGGGTGGAAACAGCCTCAAGTGGGCTTTCCACTGCTGCGAGCTGATGTGTTAGAGACAGATTGTTCCGGTGTCCCTGCCTTCGATCCTGTTCGCCTCACTCTGTCTGCTCCGGCCTGTGGTTCATCCTGTGGAAACCATCACCAAAAGCACAACAATGTAAAACCGTTGCAAACATGTGAAGTTTCATTAAGCTCCATTAGAGCAATATCGTGCACTTGTGATACTTCTCAATAGGTTAGCTCACAGGTTAATGCACTGGAATACAGCTATTGTGAGGTTAAGTGTAGCCTTGACCTTATCTCCTCGTAGTTCACTCCATCCTGATGGATTTGTTGTGCTCAAGTGACGCCACGCTCCAGTTTTCTACCTTCTGGCTCTTCTCTCTTTATAGATTTTTTCCCCCTCCACTTTCCCAGCAGATAATTTTAGACGTCACTTCACAAACCGCACGGACAATTTACAGAATGAGTGGGAGTGAACGGCAGCGTTACGTAAGTTTAGGTCAGGTAAATATTTAAAGGTGGCACTGCTGGCCTTTTGGAAAGGAAATGAAAATCAATGCCAAGCTAGGGAAGCAATTCTCACAGGTACAACAACGAATCGTAACAAATGAATTTTATTCCCCGCATGCCACATTTCCCCCAACTTTAAATGAAACGTGACAAGACAATCAGAGGATGTACATGCACGTTAGCGGTCTTATCCAAGTTTTGATCGTATTCCAGATACGATGCTCACTAGYTTTCATGGTCTTTTCTGCCGTCAAAATATCCATTTTCTTATCATCTGTGCAAAATCATTTAATCATTTCTAATTATCTCGGGTACTGTGTCCTTTACAAGCTGAAAATCTGCAGAAACATGTTTGCATTGGACCCAGTCTCCTGTTAGATCCTGTTAGTCCTCACAACATATCCAGGTCTGGTCTGAAACAGGTCAATCCTGCTCCAGGTTGAGTAAGATCTCTTTTTCCAACTCAAAAAAAACCTGTAAATATAAACAACTTTACCGATTGAAATAAAAACAATTTAAAGGGGCAATATTATGTGTTTCTCAGGCATATATTTAAATACTATACCA